CTCCCGCACGCGGGAAGCTGGCAGGGGCGGGTCACCGCACACTGGGCCGTCGGGCTGCGTGGCTGATGCGTGTGCACACGGACGAGGCCGGTCCTGAAACGCGTTTCCTCACTTTGGACACGGGCCGTGTCGGCTCTCAGGACCCCCGCCGTGGATGAATACACACATTAATGATAGGGAACTGCGAGGCCGGGAAGGCCGCGGGCAGGTGAGCCGGCCGAGCTTCCCACTTCGGCTGTTAGCGGTGGATGCGGGTGTGGACCCCCGCCCGGCCCCAGCCCAGAGCCGGAGCCCAGGGGTCGGCGGGCCTGGGGCGAATCGGATTCCACGGACAGAGACTGTGCACGTGTGCTAAGCGGGATGCTGCTCCTCCAGCTGGCCACGGGAACTGGGTGGTACCTGCGTGGGGGTCGGGGGTGGGTGTTGGCGTTCCAGTGGGAGCCATGGAAATGTCTTTGGCTAAGTAAAAATCTGCCTTAGATTTCAGACGTGTTTCACTTTTCTCACTTGACATTCCAGGAGGATGTGCGTTAAGGAAAGGAATTTTTAACTAGTTGCTAAAATATAATTTGTAGACAGTGAGCATTTATGGTGCTCTTAGCAAACCATATGACCGTCGCTGGGGTCTTTTGTTGTTGTTGTTGTTGTCGATCGTGGGGCTTGAACTCTGGGCCTGGCCGCTGACCCTCAGCTCTTCAGCCCTACCACTTGAGCCACGACGCCACTTCCCGTTTTCTGGTGGTTAATTGGAGATAAAAAGTCTCATGGACTTTCCTAGCCCTGGCTGGCTTTGAACCGTGATCCTCAGATCTCAACCTCCTGAGTAGCTAGGATTACAGGTGTGAGCCACCAGTGTGTGCCCAGCAGTCGCTGTTTTGTGTGTGTGTGTTGGGTTTAGGTTTTGTTTTTGGCAATATTAGGATTCAAACACAGGGCCTTGCATTTGCTAAATAGCCCATCCAGGGGTTGAGAAGGTGGCGTAATGGTAGAGTACTTGCCTTGCAGGCATGAAGTCCTGGACTCAATTCCTCAATACCACATAAACAGAAAAAGCCCGAAGGTGCTGTGGCTCAAGTGGTAGAGTGCTAGCCTTGAGCAAAAGAAGCTCAGAGACAGCACCCAGGCCCCAAGTTCAAGCCCGAGGACTGGCAAAAGAGAGAGGGGGGAGAAGAGAGATGGGGGGGAGAGGAGAGAGGGGGTCCGGAAAAATCATCCATTTATCCATCAGTTTACAAGATATCCTTACTCCCGGTTTCTCTAGCTAACGTTCCAGAGATAACTCTGGCTGTACCCATCTGGTCAGATTTCTATTTCCTGTCTCCTGCTCAGAATCACTTGAATTAGGATTTTCTCGTGGAAGGACTGTGATCACCACAAATGCTATGAGAGATCATTCATTAACCTAATTGCTGCCTTTTGACTGTGTGGAATCTGTATGGAGTTCAGATAAGGGATAAAGAGCTGTATTCTCTTCAGGGATGATAGCTCAGTGTCTGTCACTTCTGCCAGACCCTGAGTTCATTTCACAGAGTCAGGGATAGCACTGGGAGTTGGGGGACCTTGTATTTGGCGGGCAAACATGAGAAATGTGCACAGCATCACTAGTCATTAGTAAAGTACAAATTGGAACCACAGTGAGGTAACACTTCTCACCCATTAGCATGGCTACTATTGTTGTGCAGCCTGGGTAGTTGGAGCTCATGTGTGTTAGTGGTAGGAATAAATGGCATAGATGCTGTGCAAAACAGTATGATGGTTCCTCAAACAACACAATTCTCGTATGATCCAGCAAATTCACTTCTGGGTAACTGGAAACCATCCTCATAAAGAAAGTTCTTTAAAGATCTCTGGGGTGAATCATTCTGTAAGGAAATAACATGATTGTCCTGAAGCAGAAGTAAAAGCTAGAAGTACTATAGAACCAGAAATAAATTGAAAAGCTGATCTGTAAGCTGGGCAACGGTGACTCACACCTGTATAGGCTAGCTAATTCAAAGGCTGAGATCTGAAGATCAAGATTCAAAGCCAGCCTAGGCAGGGAAATCTTTGTGACTCCATCACCAATTAGTGAAAATGCCAGACTGGGGGTGTAACTCAAGTGGCAGAGAACTTACCATGAGATGAGAGAAAAGCTGAATGAGAGCTAGAGACCCTGAATTCTCAGGTCCTGGTACCAGCGCACGTGCACATACACACACATCGGTAAACATTGAGTAAATACATTGGTGGGGGCATTATATCAGCATCCAGGTAAGAGGGTGTGAAGGACAGAATCTGTATTCTCTCAGATTCTCATTGGATTGAGTTGGCATTCTTAGGTGTCTGTTCTTTCACCTTATTTTCCTGAGTACCTTTTCTCATGGACCTTGAACAGGCTTGATCTCCAGCCACCTAAGCCTTAAGCTTGTGAAGAAGTCTGAACTTTGTGGAGGGAGCAGTTGCCTGGGTCTGGTACTTTCTTGGAGAGTTGTGTTGCAGTTGAGTTTCTACAGAAATACTTAATGTCGTACCATAAAGGACAGAAGAGACAGACATTCTATCTTAATAAAAGGTTTAATACAGCAGTTCAGAGACTGTGGTTGTCCTTCAAGCCAAGAGCCAGGGTAACTGCCCATTTCTTAGAGGCCCTTGAAGTTCCGACCACAGGACGCTTCAGACCTAGGAGCCTGGATTTCTAGCACAGGATGGTTATCAAACGTAAGGTCCTGGAAATTTAAGATAAACTGATGAAAAGAATAACTCAGAAGAGAACAGATGAGGAAGGGACAAAGCAGAGTTGAGTCAAAGACTGGATTCTCCTTTGAGATGGGTCACTGGGTTTGTCTAGCTTTTGTGAACACAGCAGACACACCATACCCACTGTTTAGCTTTCTACCAATTTAGCTATGTATGGTAAACTGTGGCCTGAAAATATTGATTGGAAGATTCTAGAAATAACTCATAAGATTCCAATTGTGGGGCTGGGAAGGTGGCTCAGTGGTAGAGCGCTTGCTTTGCATGCCTTGCATGCCTGAGGCCCTGGGTTCGATTCCTCAGCACCACATACAAAAGAAAAAAGCTGGAAGTAGCTCAAGTGGTAGAGTGCTAGCCTTGAGCTGAAGAGCTGAGGGACAGTGCCCAGGCCCAGAGTTCAGGCCCCACGACCGTACTCAAAAAAAAAAAAAAAGATTCAAATTGTGCATCATTTAGAATGTTGTAATTAAATGTATGTGTATGTATGTATGTATGTATGTAGCATGCCCTGTAAGCACTGGAGGAAACAGGGTCCCATTCTGTCTGTAGTTTCAGTCACTCACGTGGAAGAGTCTTGAATGTAACTCCTGCATCCCAGTACACTTGGCTGTTTTCAAATGCATTTACTCAAATAACTGATATGAGGGGTTTTCTTGTGCTAGTACCGGGACTTTTGGCTTCCTTGCTCACATCTGATGCTTTACCACTTGAGCCATGTTGCTGGCCCCCTTGCATTATTTTTTTGTTGTTGTTGGAAGTGAGGCTTGAACTCTGGACTTGGGCACTGCCCCTGCACTCTTCAGCTCAAGGCGAGAGCTCTAGCACTTGAGCCATAGCACTACTTCCGGTTTTCGAGTGGTTTATTGGAGATAAGAGTCTCACGGACTTTCCTGCCCAGGCTGACTTTGAACCGTGATACTCAGATCTCTGCCTCCTGAGTAGCTAGGATTACAGGCAAGCCTTGCATTTTGCAGGCAATTTGGAAGTGGAACCTCAATTTTTCTTCCCCAATTAACTTTGAATTGGGATTCTCAGATCTCATTTTCCTGAGTAGCTAGGATTATAGGCGTGAGCCACCAATGGCCTGGCTAAGGAATAATGGTACAGCATCTCTAAAAATAATTTTGTTTTTTGTTGCCCTTGTAGATGGGATCAGTCTGGACCCTCCTGAGAATGTGGAGGTCTACATCATAGACGATGACTTTACCCTAAGATGGAACAGCAGCCACCAGTCTGCTGAGAATGTAACATTTTCAGCAGATTATCAAACGTAAGTGACTCTATTTACTGACTTACCAGATACTGTAGGGAGGCTTTTATAATTCCAGCATCATGATTTGTTTTCGGACTTGGGAAACATTTGTTTTCCCATTTACTGGAAATTTTATGTCTACATAGTACTTTTAACTTCATTTCTTTAAATACTTACTGAGTTTATAAACTGCTAGAGATTTGGAGATATGACTGGCAATGTCTTATGCTTATATTAAAATAGACCAGTGAGCCGGGTGCTGGTGGCTCACACCTGTAATCCTACCTACTCAGGAGGCTGAGATCTGAGGATTGTGGTTCAAAACCAATCCTGGGCAGGAAAGTCCATGAGACTCTTATCTCCAATGAACCACCAGAAAACCAGAAGTAGCACTGTGGCTTAAATGGTAAAGCACTTGATTTGAGCTGAAGAGTTGAGAGACAGTGCCCAGGCCCTAAGTTCAAGCCCCATGACCGACCAAAGAAGAAAAAAAAGATAGACCAGTGAAAGCTATTGAAATTGAGTTGTCTTATTTGTGCTGGTCCTAGGGCTTGAACTAGACAGAGTCTGGGCACTGTCTTTTTGTTCATGACTAACACTCTATCACTTGAACTACAGTTTCACTTCTGGCTTTTGATGGCTAATTGGAAATCTGGGACATTTCCTGCCTGGATGGGCTTTGAATGGTGATCCTCAGATCTCAGCCTCCTGAGTAATTAGGATTACAGGCATTAGCCACCAGCACCTAAAAAGTTGCAGCGTAGGCTGGTCTCGAACTCATGATCCTCCTGTCTCATTTTCCTCATTGATTACCAGTGTGTAACATCATGGCCATCCAGGCTCCCTTTGTAGAAAGAAAAATCTGTCCTTGGTCACCTGAGCATTTTACCCCCATTTCAGTACTGGTGATTGAACACACGTCCTGAGTTTAGGCAAGTGCTCTACCAATCTAAAGTTATTTTGTTTAGCCAGTTCAATGGAATAATTTATTCGTTTGGATTAACATCTGGAAATTATTGTTTCCAGTGGTGCAATAGGCAGAATTAAGGAGACGGTGAATTAGGGAGTGCTTTGGTTTAGGATATGGCAGGGGCCACTGACACCACACTGATGCTGACAGATCATCTGTTCAGAGGAGCAGGTCAGAAAGGACACAGTTCCATTTCTTTTTCAGTGAGGAAGGTAAGATCCAGAAACCCAGAAGTCCTGCCAAGCAGTCACACGACTCCATTAACAAAGCCAGCACAGAATTGACTTTTGCTCAACAGATCATTTGTCTGTTTCCTTGAAATAGTAAATCAGAGAGGACTATATGAAGACTTAACAGTATGTCTCAATTAGCATTTTATAAGCGGTTACTAGGTGGGTGTATGCGGAAGGCTGTACACTAAAATGTGAATGGGACGCGTGCTCTGGTGGACAGTAAGGGACTTGGACCTGTGTGTTGCTGACACGTTTGCTCATCCTGCTCTTCACTTCCTAAAGACCCATGGTGAATAACTGGATAAAGTTGCCTGGCTGTCAGCATATCATGGGTACCGAGTGTGACTTTTCTGCACTCCAGATCGATGTTTATGAAAACCTAAGACTGCGTATAAGAGCGGAAAGAGGAAACAGCACTTCATCATGGCATGAGGTTGACCCATTTGTACCATTTATGAAAGGTAAGAAAGTGTAGGTAGCTGAATCGCTTCATGGTCTTTGGTGAATATTGCAGCACAGCCTTGCTTCTTAGCCCACTCATTTCAGGACGTGCAGCTCTTCTGCTTTGGCTCCACTAGTGGGTCTCAAAGTGTGGTTCCGTTCCAGGAGGCCAGAAAGACACAGATGTTTCTGCAACAAATTCTGACATTGAATTGCCTTGTTCATTATCACTTTCTCTTATATACGTGGATTTTTCCGAAAAAGGCTGTTTCTTGTCATTTGACAGTCAAATGAACACACACACGAGAAGAAGCTAGAAGCCAGAGATTTTAACATGGACACCAGCCACACAGTAATCTTAGCTAGTCAAAAGAATTATGGTTCAAGGCCAGCCCAGGCAGAAAAGTACATGAGCCTGTTACCTCCAATTAGCCAACCAAAAGCCAGAAGTGGAGGTGTGGTTCAATTAGTAGAGCATCAACCTTGAAGGTACAAGCTGAGGGAGAATCTCCAGGGCCTGCATTCTGAGTTGACCTGCGTTATCAGCACAGAAAGTTAAAAGAAAACCAGTATAAAAGGAACCTGAGGGCTGGGAAGGTGGCTCAGTGGTAGAGCGCTTGCCTTGCATGCCAGAGGCCCTGGGTTCGATTCCTCAGCACCACATAAGCAAAAAGAAAAAAGCCGGAAGTGGCACTGTGGCTCAAGTGGTAGAGTACTAGCCTTGAGCTGAAGAGCTGAGGGACAGGCTGGGAAGGTGGCTCAGTGGTAGAGCGTTTGCCTTGCGTGCATGAGGCCCTGAGTTCGATTCCTTAGCACCACATAACCAGAAAAAAAAAAAAAGAGCTGAGGGACAGCGCCCAGGCCCAGAGTTCAAGCCCCATGACAGGACCCCCCCAAAAAAACAAAAAACAAAACAAAAGGAACCTGAGATCAAAAACTGAGACACACCACCCTGTGCCAAAAATCAAAACAAAAAACAATGATCTGTACCCCGTGTGTGTACCTTTTTGTATTTCTATTTTCCCCTCTGTTCAGTCTGTCCTCACTGTCACCACACATTCAGGACTGCAGATGAATGGATGGATGGCTATTCAGGCCTCGGCTCCATAGCCTCTCTCAGGAAAGCCTTCCTCGACTTCCACTCGTCATTATTTTGTATTACTTACTTTGCTTCATGGCCTCCGTGGCCACATGTATGCATTTCTGAGGTGTTTGTCATAGAGATCCGTGGAGTGGAAGGTTCACGAGAGACTGCCTCATGTATTTGCATTGCTCTGGTTATTTATTGAGTGCCTATTTTAGGAAGGTGTTAGTGAAGTTACATGGTCATTCCTTTGATTTCTGCAGCTCACGTTGGTGCTCCCCGAGTTCATGTAGAAGCTGAAGATAAGGCAATAATCATCCAAATCACTCGTCCTGGAAGAAAAGACAGCAACATGTGGTGGAATATGGATGAGTTAGCCTTCATATACTACATAGTTCTGAGGGAAACGTCCTCAGGGAATGAGGTCAGCTTCTTTTTGTTTCCTTCCATAGGAAAGAAACATGAGAGAAACTTGTTCTCAAGTTGGATTTTGTGCCTACTTAGACTTCTTTTCTTTTCTATTTTAGAAAAGAACTAAAACTTTATATCGCAGACATAAATTTTTTCAGCTGTTACCGGAGACTTCCTATTGTTTAAAAGTTACAGCAGATTTACTTGTGCCCATCAAATTTGGAACCTCCAGCCCTGAGTATTGCGTAAACACCACAGGTAGGCGGATGGCTGACAGCCATTCACTAATTGTAGACTGGCAGCGTACTCATTCCTGTAGCCAAGTTGACATGATGAGGTTTTATGATGGTGAAAGAGATGGTAAATAGACAATTATAATAGAGCTGAGCACCAGTGGCTCATGTCTGTCATCCTAGTTACTCAGGAGGCTGAGATCTGAGGATCATGGTTTGAAGCCAGAAAAGTCTGTGAGACTCTTTATCTCCAGTTACACACACACACACACACACACACACACACACAAAGGCAGAAGTGGTGCTATAACTCAGGAGGTAGAGCACTAGTCTTGAGCTAAAAAGCTAAGGGTTACTCCCCAGGCCCTGAGTTCCAGTCCAAAAAAAAGAAAAAGAAAGGTATACATCCTGATATATTAAGTCATTAATATGTTACCAATAATTAAAGTCAAGGGTAGGAGCTATGATTTATTATTTTAATTATAAACTTACTATGTTTTAATTCTTAAAAGCAAACAATATAGAAAGTTTTTTCTCACTTATTTAAAAATGCAACCATTTAATGTTTTCTTTGGCTTCTAGTGGAAAATAAACTTCCTGCACCAGAAAATATAACTATTGGTGGTAAAAATGAGGGCTGTGTTGTGACGTGGGATTACCCACATGCTGACGTCACCTTCCAAGTTCAGTGGCTCTCGTAAGTGTTTTGCCCTAAATTCCTCCCAGTTCATTTTAATTTCACTTCATTATTGCTTCAGCTACTTGCAACTCTGTGCACTCGGGATTATTGCCTGACAGGAAAGTAGGAAAACTTCGTTCAAGCCCCAGCTATGCCAGTGACTTGCGGGATGGCATGGGGCTCACTGTTGAACCTCTGTGGGCCTCATTTCCTTCATTTGTTAGAAACAAGGTGTGTTCTTTTTATTTTTGCAGTACTGAGTTTCACCTCAGGCTCTCAAGGTTGGTAGGTAAGGGAATTCTTCAGCCACACCCCAAGTCCTTTGTTCAGTAACTCTTCAAGTTTCTAATGATTGAAAATATTAATAGTTGATTGGCATTGGTGGCTCATGCCTGTAATCCCCGCTATTCAGGAGGCTGTGATCTGAAGATTGAGGTCCAAAGCCAGCCTGGCAGAAAAAAATCTGTGAGACTCTTATCTCAGACTAACCAGCAGAAAACCAGAAGTGAAGTATGGCTTTATCCTTGAGCAAAAAAGCCAAATGAGAGACCTTAACTTCAAGCCCTGATACAAGCCCAAGCACACTCTCTCTCTCTCTCTCTCTCTCTCACTCTCACTCACACACACACAAATTATAATAATAATGCAAATTTTAGGGAGACAGTGAAGAGATGGTTAAGGAAGAGTAGCATATGGACAGATTTGGCTGAAGTACATTATGTGTGCTCATAGTTATCACAACAAAACCCCTGTGGACCATTAAAGATCATTTCCTTTTATTTTATCACTCCTCCTAGGACTCTTTCTTACACCCCTTTAATGCCTTTGTGCTTTACAATTTTAAGGGATTTCACTATTCAGTTTTCATGCATGCATATATGTATTTCAATCCAATTCACCACCACTACTACCACCTCATCATTCTCTCCAAGAAAAATAATTTCCTAAAATTTAAAGCCTGTGTCAACCTGTGTCAACCCTGCTAGCCAGGGCATCATTTCTCGGTAGTGAAATTAGACAAGCTATCAATATTTTTTATTGTCCTCCCCGCCCTTGTCCCCCCACCAAAGTTATAAAGTTCGTTTTTCGACATAATGACTTGTATATCTCATTGTTGCAATGGGTCCTTCTGTATCCCTGTTTTAACAATTTGTTTTTTCCCTTCCCCTCCACATATACCAACATCATATACAGTGAAAGCAGGGGTTATACCATGGGGGCGGGACATACAAGGCAACAAAGACATAATCTTATAAATATGTTAGAAACACTTGCATGAAAGATCTTTGTTTTTTGGGGTTTTTTTTTGTTTTTTTGTTTTTTATCAGTAGTGGGGCTTGAGTTCTAGGCCTGGGAGCTGTCCCTGAACAATTCAGCTCAACGCTCATGCTCTACCACTTGATCCATAGTGCCACTTTTAGTTTTCTGATGGGTTTTTTTTTAATTGTGATTAAGTGATTACATAATTTCCCAAATTTCTCAGTATTGTGGAATAATGATGCTCATTTAAAGTCACAAGCTCATTCTAACTTTCCTGGAGCAAATTGTCTATCACGGTCTATAACATATAACGGTGTACACATGTACACCATACATGTGATCAGCAGCATGGGATTATTTAGTAGTGGTTCGACCAGATGAATGGAAGGTCTTTGTTTCTTAAGTCCTGTTAATTTTGTCATATCACCTAACATTTTGGATTTAACATCCACTTATCAGGGAGACCATGTACCCTTTGTCTGCAAATGAAATTTTTAAATAAAAAGGTAGCTGCCCCTGCCTCTCAGAAGATATACCAAGTTTCCACTCAACTTCCTCCTTAAATGAATCGCACTTCATCCCTAAGGAACCTGTGGTCAAAGCTATTCCTAAAAAGCAGATCTTTTGAAATAAATTCCTTAGCTTTCAACAGATTTCTCTAAAATACTTAGTCCTTTAGGGCTAACTTTTTTTGTTTTCAGCCACCCCACTTGAGAGAGAACACACAGGTCTTCCTCTCTGAGTCTAGCTGACTCCATGCAGCATAAATCTCAAGTTCCATCAGTTTCCTGCAAATTTAATTCTTTATGGTTGACTAGCACTATACCACACTGAAGCACACATCTGCTAGCAGCATTTTGGTGGTTAGTAGGAGCTGAGTCTCAAATTTGTCTGCCCAGACTAGCTGCAAACTATGGTCCTCAGATCTCAGCCTCCTAAATAGCTAGGATTACAGGTGTGAACATGAGCTTGAGTTCGATTTTTAGTCATGACTGTTTTAAAAACCAATCACTACAGTCCTGAGGGGTCATATCTGCCCTGAACACTGCTGCGGGCCACCTCCAGCATCGTGTTGCTTGGCTCTGGTGCAATCTTTTTTTCTTTTGTGTGGGACACATATGTTTGGGTTTTTGTTTTTTTTTTGTCCATCACGGGGCTTGAACTCCAAGCCTGGGCGCTGTCCCTGAGCTGTTCAGCTGAAGGCTAGCACTCTACCACTTGAGACATAGCACCACTTCTGGTTTTCTGGTGGCTAATTGAAGATCATAGTCTCACAGACTTTCCTGCCTGGGCTGGCTTTGAACCTCAATCCTCAGATCTCAGCCTCCTAAGAAACTGGGATTACAGGCGTGAGCCACCAGCATCTGGTGGGACACATGTGTTTTTCCCCCCATGTATTTGCAGTGTCCTGAGCACTGGGAACTGGTCTTTAGCCTCAGCCCCAGTGTTTGGCATGTTATAAACACTGAGTACATATTTACTCAGTTAATGTGTTTAAGTTTAAAAACACTTTTTTTCCCCTTTTGTCTTAAAAGTGCTTTGTCAAAAAGGCTTCTTGAGAACTACTCAGAAGACTGGAACCCAGTACCTGGCTGTGAAAACACCCAAGACACACTCTGTGTCCTTTCTAAAAATAACTTTTCAGGAGGCAGTTACTTCATCCGGATCAGAGCCACTGATGGAAATAACACGTCTTTTTGGTCTGAAGAGAAGAAAATTGATTCTAAAACATGCAGTAAGCCAGTTTTCATTTGAATTCTCATTCTCCAACTTAGTGTAACTTCTCCAAATTGTTTTAAGACATCTAATGGAGCAGTTTGTGTAATTGTGTATTTTGTCTTCACATTTTCTTTCCAGTCCCCCTCCCTCCTCCCAACGTTACTGTGAAATCCAACAAGGACTCGCTTGTTCTCTATATCAGTTTTCCAGAAAATTTTGATGTCTTCACAAAGATGTATGAAATTATTTTTTGGGAAAATACTTCAAATACTGAGGTAAAAGCACTATATAGTCTCGTTTTGCTATTTGGAGTTCTGTTATTTAGGTACATAACACTTCCATTTCAAATCTCGTGCAAAGCTATCAAACAGTTGAACAATTCAGTGAAATTGTTCAGCAGATACTGGGATGGAGTATTCATCCCCACGGAGTCTTGGTGGATATGTTATGAGCACAGGCATTAGATATGCATGGCCTAGCTTGGCTCTCATGCATCTCCTATTTGTCTAGATGAAAGCATTTGTCACATGGTCTCTGGTCCAAAGAAGATGGGGGAGCAGGCCTCAATGGGAGCTTCTCTGGCCAGTCTAAATAATTGTTTTAAGCCACTGAATGTTGCAGTGGTTTTGTTACATAATGTTATTGTGATCATAGCTGACAAATACACAGAGGAATAGCACTTGTCCTCATTTGAAAGATTCAGAAATAAGGCACCAAGAAATGGAAGAATTTGTACAAGGTCATGCAGGTGTAATACTTCTTTAAAAATTTTTAAATTGTTATTATAAGGGTGATATACAATCTGAGCACATATGGTTTACACTTGTAATCCTAGCTACCCAGGAGGCCGAGATCTGAGGATTGTGGTTCAAAGCCATTCGGGGCAGAAAAGTCTCGGAGACTCTTGTCTCCAATTAACTACCAGAAAACTAGAAGTGACACTGTAGCTCAAGGTGGTAGAGTACTAGCCTTGAGCAAAATAGCTCAGGGACAGTTCCCAGGCCCTAAGTTCAAGCCTCAAGGCCAGCCCCCCCCCCCAAAAATGGTTATATACATAGGTGTTACAGTTATATAAATCAAGTAAAGAGTTCATTTCTTTTTGAACAATGTCATCCCTCCTCTTGCAGCTGTAATACTTCTAACACAGGCATTGTGCAGCTAAAACCATCTTGTGGTTAATCTGAAGCAGCATAACATTAATTAAACCAACAGTATGTTCTTATAAAGTTGTTGTCTTAGGGATATATCATGCATTTTGGGGAGGGGGAGGCAACAGCATTTTTAGCTTTCTGATTAGATTATATAGATCCCAAACACATACCAACTAATGTTTGACAGTGGCCAATCTTATATTGAACATAAAAGAATTCGGGAAATAGATTTCATGAGGAGGTGAAATTGTCAATGACCTGATTATTTTGTAGAAAAAGATGATGCAAGAAAGTCCTGAAGTTACCATTGGCGGCCTGAACCCGCTGACTGTCTACTGCGTGAGGGCCAGGGTGTACCTGGAGCCTCCGTGGCAGGAGAAGAGCGCCTACAGCCATGTGGTGTGTAAGAAAACGAAGGCAGGTGAGGGCTCCCACTGTGCTTTTGTTTTTTTTGGTTTTTTGGGTTTTTTGGGTTTTTTTGGTCTGGTCGCAGGGCCTGGACGCTGTCTCTCAGCTCTTCAGCTCAAGGCGAGCGCTCTTCCACTTGAGCCACAGCGCCACTTCCGTTTTTTTTTTCTTTTTTGCTTATGTGGTGCTAATACCTCATGCATGCAAGGCAAGCGCTCTACCACTGAGCCACCTTCCCAGCCCTCCACTGTGCTTTAGAATGCATAACTAAACCTAAGACAAATCGTGCATGAAAACTATGTTTTCATCATGAATTACATGAAGCCCTTCAGTTTTATCTATTCATTTTATTTTTATTTTGTGCTGGTACTGGGCTTGAACTCAGGACCTGTACCTGTCCCTTTGCTTTTTTGCTCTCAAGTTTGGTGCTCTACTACTTGAGCCACAGCCCCACATCTGGCTTTGTGATGGTTAATTGGAGAGAAGGAGTTTCACTGACTTTCCTGTTCAAGCTGGCTTCAAACCATAGCCCTCAGATCTCAGCCTCCTGAGTAGCTAGATTACAGGTATGAGTGAGTCATCAGCACCTGTCAGATTTTATAAAATGTTTTGATGCTCAGTTCAATTCAGTGCTTTTTATTGTTGTTGTTGCTTTTTGTTTGATTTTGTCTTTTTGCAGTGGGAATTGAACCCATGGCCCTGTGCATGCTGAACAAGCATTCTGCCTTTGAGCTGTATGCCCCATATATTTATATTTCATCTGTTACCCACATGACTGATTTTTTTAACTATTGCTCTTTGGCACCTAATAGGACTATTAGAGTATTTTTAAATTATTTTTAAAAATTTATAAAACTTGGGGCTGGGAAGATGGCTCAGTGGTAGAGTGCTTGCCTTGCATGCATGAGGCCCTGGGTTCGATTCATCAGCACCACATAAGCAGGGGGGAAAAAAGTGGCGCTGTGGCTCAAGTGGTAGAGCATTAGCCTTGCGCAGAAGAGTTGAAGGACAGCGCCCAGGCCCAGAGTCAGGCCCCACAACCGACCAAAAAAAATTTATAATACTCAATAATTATGTCTAATCAAGTAATTGTGAACTTTTCATGCACTAGTGGTCTCGTGTCTTTCTGGATGTTTGAGCTTTTTTTTTTTTTCTGCCAGGCCTTTTTTTTGCTCAAGGCTAGCACTCCACCACTTGAGCCACAGTGCCTCTTCCAGCTTTTTGTTTATGTGGTACTGAGAAATTCTCCTTTCTGGATTTTACACTTTCTAGAGCTGACTGGTAGAGGTTTGATCACAGGGTAGTTTTTGTTTTGTTTTGTTTTGTTTGTTTTGGGTTGGTCATGGGGCTTGAACTCTGGATCTGGGCACTGTCCCTCAGCTCTTCAGCTCAAGGCTAGCGCTCTACCACTTGATCCACAGTACCACTTCCAGTTTTCTGGTAGTTTATTGGAGATGAGAGTCTCACAGACTTTCCTGTCCGGGCTGGCTTTGAAAAACGATCCTCAGATTTTGGCCTCCTGAGTAGCTAGGAATCCAGGCATGGGCTACCAGTGCCCAGCCACAGGGTAGTTTTAAATTGGGCTAGTTCCTTGTTGTGCAGCTCCGGGAGAATGCTCCCAGGTGGGCCTACATGGCAGCGCAGTACTCTGCCCTCGGGGTTTCATAGTTCAGTTCTCTAGAGCACTTTGTGTGCAGATGTAATCTCTGTGAAGTCTCACGGGGACTTTCCTGTCCCAGCTGCCTTCAAGCCATGATCCTCAGCCTCCTGCATGTCTAGATTATAGGCCAACAACCAACTTGCCAGAAATATTTTTAGTGGAGCATATGGCCAAGTTTCCTATTACTGCATTTGTGTGCCAATCCATGAATGGAAGCTTAACATCATTTGTTGTTTTTTAGGAAATTCTTCCACAGCCTGGATTGTAGGTGGAATTTTCATCGTGATGTTTGTTCTTTTCCTGATTTATCTATTGAAAAGACTCGTGAGTTACATATTCTTCCCTTCACCTAAACCTCCTTCCATTATTAATGAGGTATGTTACCTTTCTTTGTCAGTAGCTGAGAAATGAACAGCAAATAATTGGATTTCAATAGCACTTATATATCTTTCTGATACCCAGCAAATACTACAGCTTGACAGACTGCAGGGATGTTTTTTAGATTAGCTTTAGAGACAGTCATTTAATCTAATAACAGTGCATAATGATGAGGCCTTTCCTGTTTCCTATTTTTCTGGCAGTTTGGCTATTGTGGCATGTACTTTACCTTTTTTTTCTTTTGTCAGTTATGGGCCTTGAACTCAGGACCTGGGTGCTGTCTCTGAGCCTATTTGCTCAAGGCTAGTGCTCTACCACTTTGTTTATGTGGTACGGAGAAATTCCCCTGTCTTTCTGTCTTCTTCCACTTCTCATTTTCTGCTCGTTAATTGGAGATGAGTCTTATGACTTTCCAGCCCATGCTGCCCTTGAACAGCAACCCTCAGATCTCAGCCTCCTGAGTAGGTAGGATTACAGGCGTGGGCCACCAGCACACAACGCACTTTATCATTTAGTCTTTATCATTTACAGCAGACACTGGGGGTGTGACCTCATGCCCCGAATTTAACCCTTACTACCAGGAAGGACACAGTTAGTTGTTTTTTGTAGTTGTTTTTTTTTGGGGGGGGGTGTCTTTGTTTTTCTTCACAATAGATCATAGACTGAACTCACTCCATGAGTTCAGGAAGGACCTGACTGGATGGAGGCCCAGGAAAGGTTGAGTTTTCTGGCAGTGTTGTCCTCGCACTGTGTGAAGTTAGCATGAAAGCATTTAGCGTGAGGAACGTTAAATGGTGTCTGAAGTCCTTGTTCACGCAGGACAGGGCTTAGCTCCGTCTCAGGACAGGCAGCAGAGTCAGGAGCTCAGGCATTAGAGTTGGCGAGAGCCAAGGGGAGTTACTGATGATCTGTATCCTCACTTGCCAGCAGTGTGCAGCTGAGCAAGTCAATAAGGATGGATGGGTAGGTCCCCTAGCCTGTGAATGAAGCCTCCCCAGCTACCCCACAGAGCCCAGCACCAAAGGAGGTCAACCAAAAGAACCCTAGCACTCAGAACACTCAGTAAATATGAACCATATGTTCTGATAAATACCATTCCTATGTACTCCAATATCCCCAGTGATAGACACAACCAGCCAGTTGCAGCAGCTCATAGAACAGAGCAACACTGATTTCTCATTGGGGCTTCTGGGTATCTGTGAATCAGATGTAACTTATTGTATTATTTGAAAATAAATTGTCCATGATCCCACCCAGCCCCCTCCTGTTATAGCCTCTCCCAAGTTGTTGTGACCCTACTTGGCATCAGTGTTCCTTTTTTAGGGCTCTGTAAGATTCACCAAAAAGGCCTGAAGATGTGTGAACTTTCTGGGACTTCATTCTATTCCTCTGTGTATGCATGCCAGTAACTAGGGCTTGAACTCAGGGTCTGGGTGCTGTCCCTTAGATTGTTCACTCAAGGTTAGCACTCTACCACTTGAGTTACAACTTTTTTTTTTTGATCGGTCATGGGGGCTTGAACTCTAGGCTGGGGTGCTGTCCCTCAGCTCTTCAGCTCAAGGCAAGTGCTCTACCACTTGAGCCACAGCGCCCCTACCGATTTTCTAGTGGTTTATTGGAGATAGGAGTCTCACGGACTTTCCTGCCCGGGTTGGCTTTGAACGGAGATCCTTAGATCTCAGCCTCCTGAGTAGCTAGGATTACAGGCATGAGCCACCGGTGCCCGGTGAGTCACAACTTTTTGATAAGAGATAAGAGCCTCAGGGACTTCCCTGTCCTACCTGGATTTGAACCTCGATCTTTAGCTTTCAGTCTCCTAAGTAGCTAAAATGACAGGTGTGAGCCACTGGCGCCTACCTTTGGACTGTATTCTGACCCTTACATTGCAATGGGCATGTTCTTAGCAGAGTTCTTTTTTAATATGCATGCCAAAAGATAGGCCTTACAAATGATGGACAGAATAAACTATTAGAACTAGATGACTGATTATCATTACTTTTAAATAATCTGTCCCCTGTTCCTTTCCTTTTTAAAAATTAGTATCACTCTGAACCACCATCAAAGAATCTTCTATTTTCTACATCAGAGGAACAAGTTGAAAGATGTTCCATCATTGAAGATGCAGGAATCATTGTGATGGTAGAAAAAACAATGAGTGAACCTGATGATCATAAAACATACAATTCCCAAAGTAGTGAAGATTCAGGCAATTACTCCAATGAGGATGAAAGTTTGGAGAGGGGAACAAGTAGAGAATTTCAGCAAAAGGAAGTCTTGTGACCAGACCGGAAGCCACCTCTGACCATGGCTCGCTGCCCAGGGCCATGCTGGAATGTGCGCCTTGTATCTCTCGGCCCAGAAGAGGATGTCTGCCTCCTTCAGAAGATACATCTTCAGATCTCAGGGCCTAAAATACAAGCAAGCCCTGTAACTATTGAAGATGTAACACCAGGAGTTTGGAGAGGAGAAAAATGTTCCACCTTCTTCCTACCTGGCCTGTCTTGGATGAAACAAGTTAACTGATGGAGGTGGCTGTTGGCTTTCAGTGGAAGCCGCCTATAGGTGCTAATTGTGTTTCATGACTGGAGAGAGTATCTGTGCACTGGCCAATGCTGCTGTTTCCACATCAGTCTTCTGCAGTTCTCCACTCCCACATGTGGAGCTCACGGAACTTTTACCCACTTGATCTTATAACACTGACATAAGGCCCTTAGGAAATACCTTTAGGAAAGTCTGAATACAATTACCACCTGATTATGTGAAAAGTAGCCTGCCCCTAGAAGATAGAAAAATGAGCCTTTAAAAATGCTTGGGGAAATAGTAGCCATTTATCCTGAAAACACTGGCTTTCTATGCACAGTCAACTAACCCTTTGCAGAGCTCAGGATTCAAATCAAGCAGTCTTTTTCTATACATTCAGACTGGCTATCGGGTGCCAGTGGTTCACCCCTGTAATCAGGAGGCTGAAACGGGAAGATCCCACTTTGAAGCCAGCCGAGGCAGCAAAGTCCGTGAGACTCATCTCCAATTAACTACCAGAAAACTGGCTGATAGAGCTGGGAAGGTGGCTCAGTGGTAGAGTGCTTGCCTTGCATGCCTGAAGCCCTGGGTTCAATTCCTCAGCACCATATAAGCAAAAAGAAAAAGCTGGAAGTGGTGCTATAACTCAAGTGCTAGCCTTGAGCTGAAGCGCTGAGGGACAGTGCCCAGCCCCAGAGTTCAGGCCCCATGACCGGACCCCAAAAAAAAGAAAAGACTTCTTGATCGTAAACTTATTAGAACAGTAGTTTCTGCTTCTGATCTGGAATCACCCAAGCCATAGAAAAGCGTTAACTAATTATCGAAGTCACTGTTACATTGTAATCAAGACTACCTCCTGGTTACATAAATGTCATTTGACAGAGAAGACAGAGCAAGAAGTAGAATCGTTCTATAGAAAGGGATATTTCCTGAAAAAGTAAAAATAATGTGTATAGACAGCATTTAATAATAGAGCCTGTGTGTACATTTTATTTTGTGGCTTTATCTGTGTCACATTTATACCAGGCCAACTTCTCTCCCTCATCAGGCTATATCTAGGATCTGCTCTGCTCGGCCACATATGCTAAAAAAAAATTCAAGCAGGGTGCCAGTGGCTTCCACCTGTAATCCTAGCTACTCAGGAGGCTGAGATCTGAGGATTGCAGTTCAAAGCCAACCCAGGCAGGAAAGTCTGTGAGACTCTTATCTCCAATAAACCATTCAAAAAACTGGAAGTGGTGCTGTGGTTCAAGTGGTAGAGCACTTGCCTTGAGCTGAAGAGCTAAGGGACAGCATCCAAGCCCGGAGTTCAAGCCCCACGACTAACAAAAAAAAATTCAAATTATTCATAGGAAGGTAAGAGGAAGCTGTAGCAAGTAAGAAAACCCTAGTTCTTAAAATGAATCCTTTCCAAAGGAAGTTGTGGCTTAGTTTTAAATTGCTTTCCATTTGGGATTCTCCACGAATTTTCTGGAATCTTGGTGCCATCTAGGGTAAAGCTCTCCAGTTAATAAGCAACAACAGAGGAAGAGGAAACATGACGTCACAAAAGGGGTGTTGGGGAGTGGTCTTTACGCATGCTGGTCATACCGTCATCACTGTGAGTAACAGGGACGGCTGTGGTGCTCAGCACATGCACAGCTACACACACACACACACACTCACACATCAGATAGGGGCCTCATTCCTTCAGTTGGCCCATAAGGCACTTAATACAGATTCTGCAATTAGAAGTGGTTTTCAGAACTGTGAAGTTCGGAGTCGCACCAGAAATGTGTGATCTACTTTTTAAAAAATTGTTTTATTTTTTTTGTTTTTGTTTTATTGGGTCCGGTCGTGGGGCCTGAACTCTGGGCCTGGGCACCATCCCTCAGCTCTTCAGCTCAAGGCTAACACTCTACCACAGCACCGCTTCCAGCTTTTTTCTTTTTGCTTATGTGGTGCTGAGAAATAGAACCCAGGGCCTCAGGCATGCAAGGCAAGCGCTCTACCACTGAGCCACCTTCCCCGCCCCTGAAAAATTGTTTAAAATATTACAATCTGGGCACCGCGTGTTCACAACTGTAATCCTAGCTAATCAGGAAGCTGAGATCTGAGGATCAAGGTTCAAATCTAGGCTGAGCGGAAAAGTCTGGCAGAGTGTTATTCCTGAGTGAAAAAGCTAAGGAACAGTGCCCAGGGTTTGAGTTCAAGCCCCAGTCAACCCCTCCCCCCCCCCCACACACATTTAGGATGGGTACAGTGACTTCTGCATGTAATCCTACCCACTCAGGCGAGATTGCAGAGTTCCAGTCTAGCTTAAGCCACATAGATGCTAACTCAGAAGTCAACTGTAAAAATTAATCAAGTAGGGCTGAGAATATGGCTCAGTGGTACTGCTTACCTACCATACATGAAAGCCTTGGGTTCCATTCCTCTGTACCACATAAATAGAAAAAGCTAGAAGTGATGCTGTGGCTTAAGTGGTAGAGTGCTAGCCTTGAGTAAAAGAAGCTCAGGGGCAGTGGCCAGGCCCTGAGTTCTGGCAAAAGAACAAATGTATATAAAAGAGCTTGGGGTATTTATACCAGCCTTGGATTTTTTGTTGTTGGTTGTGGGGCTTGAACTTTGGGCCTGGGCATATTCCCGAGGTCTTCAGCTCAAGGCAAGCACTCTACAGCACTGTACCGCTTGAGCCACAGCACCACTTCCAGTTTTCTGGTGGTTCATTGATGATAAGAATCTTGTGGACTTGACTGCCCAGGTTGGCTTTGAAGTGAGATCCTCAGATCGCAGCCTCCTGAGTAACTAGGATTACAGGCATGAGCCACAGGTGCCTGGCAGATTTCTCTTAAGTTGAGGAGTAGGCCACACAGAAGCCTGTCCCCCTCTCCTTGCCTAATCCTGGGACTGCAGACGTGTTCTGTGGTTTCTTGTGTGGTTTCATGTCTTCTAGAGCAGGAACTCTGACACTGGAGCCCTGGCAGCTACCACAGTGCAGGGCTTGGCACAAGAAGATGTTCAGAAAACACCAGTGCGGAGTGGGACCTGGCTGCTAGTGGCTCCTGCCTGTAATCCTCACTGCGTAGGAGATCTGAGATCTGAGGATCAAGGTTCGAAGCTAGCCCAGAGAGGAAAAGTCTATTAGATTCTCTATCTCCAGTTAACCACAAAAAGCAGAAGTGGAGCCATGGCTCAACTGCTAGAGCACTAGCCCCCAGCACAGAAGCTTAGGGAAAGGTCCCAAGCTCAAGCCCCAGTAGAAAAGAAAAAAAGAACAAAACAGTAATGGGGTACCTGACATGTTTGTATGATTTTAATGGGGTGTAAAAAGACCAAATCATGTTTCAGTATTTCTATGCAACAGATTTGTATTCTGTTTCATTTGCATTTTTGTCTTAATTGTACTGTTATAAATAAACAATTCTTATAGTAAACTGAGGAGCCAAGGTGACTGTTTTTATTGTTTCTACAAAAGCAAGGGCTGGGAAGGTGGCTCAGTGGTAGAGCGCTTGCCTTGCATGCGTGAGGCCCTGGGTTCAATTCCTCAGCACCACATAAGCAAAAAGAAGCCGGAAGTAGTGCTGTGGCTCAAGTGGTAGAGCGCTAGCCTTGAGCTGAAGAGCTGAGGGACAGCGCCCAGGCCCAGAGTTCAGGCCCCACGACCGGACCCCCCAAAAAAAAGAATCTCTCAGACTTGGCATGAACCATTATAGACAGATATGCACCACTGACGCTCGGCTCTTCTAACTTAAAAGACTTACACATACACACTTTCACTACCACTTCCGCTTTGTCCCACAAATTTGGCATTTATCATTTAATTTGTATTCTTCTCTATTTCCTCATTTCCCTTATTTTTTCTTTAATCTATTTGTTGCTTATCTATTTGTGTATTTTTTTAGCTAGGTGAGGGTGGTTCATGCTCATAATCTAGCTGTTCAGGAGGCTGAGATCTGAGAACTGACTTCAAAGTAGACTGAGCAGAAAAGGCCATGAGACTGTAATCTCCAATTAGCCACCAAAAGGCTATAGCTCAAGGAGTAGAGCACAAGCCTTGAGCAAAATAGGGTAGGGGACAGCACCCTGAGGTCAAGTCCCAGTAATGGCACACATACACACACTTGCACACGCGCACACACACACACATACACACACACACACATACACACACACACACATACACACACACACACATGACCGTTGTTTAATTTCCAACTTTTTATGAGTATTCCATTTTTCCTACTGTTATTCATTCTGATTGTATTCCATGCTGGTGAGGGGACATATTTTATACAATTTTAATCATTTTAAATTGAGACATTTTGCATTACTCAACATAGTGTATCCTGGACTGTGCCAGGTACACTGCAGGCGAACTTGTATTCTTGTGTTATTGGCTGAAGCATGGCTATGTCTTTTTGGCTTACCTGATTCCTGTGTTATTCAAGTCTTCAATTGCCTTGTTGATCATCTACCCAGTAGATCTGTCTTCCATTAAAATTAGATACTAAAGTCACTAATTATTATTGACCCGTCCAGCAGGTCCAGTTATTTTGTTAGGCTCAAGAAGGCACCTCCTAAAAACCAATAGGGGGTGAGAGAGAAACGAGACCAAGCGCATAAAGAAAGACAGTCAGTCTGAGTCGCGTCAAGGTCTGCTTTATTGAGCTCAGGGTAGGGTTTTTATACCCACAGGGGCAGTGGGAAGGGGAAGAATGAAAAAACTTTGCAGAAGCAAGGGTGAGAAGTCCCGGGGTCGGGGATGGGTCATGCTTCTCCTTTGGCCGTTGTGCTAGTCTTTCTAAGAAATATTTATGGTTAGCCAGGCGCCATTTGCTTAGGGCTGGAGATAAGAGAAATGTTTAAGGTTAGTCAAATGTTGTCTGCTTAGGGCTGGAGGAATATTTATGATTAGCCAAATGTAGTTTGCTTAGGGCTGGAGGAATCTTATCTTTCCATACACTTTCTTGGCTCCCAACATATTATTGTTGAATTTCTCACATCAATTCTGTCAGTTCTGTTTTAGGTATTTTGGACCTCTATTGATAGACACATACATACTCGTTATCTTTATTTCTCTTGATTGATGGAAACTTGTCATTATAAAACATTGTTCCTGGGCTGGGAAGGTGGCTTGCCTTGGGAAGAGCACTTGCCTTGCATGCATGAGGCCCTGGGTTCTGTACATTTTATTTTGTGGCTTTATCTGTGTCACATTTATACCAGGCCAACTTCTCTCCCTCATCAGGCTATATCTAGGATCTGCTCTGCTCGGCCACATATGCTAAAAAAAAATTCAAGCAGGGTGCCAGTGGCTTCCACCTGTAATCCTAGCTACTCAGGAGGCTGAGATCTGAGGATTGCAGTTCAAAGCCAACCCAGGCAGGAAAGTCTGTGAGACTCTTATCTCCAATAAACCATTCAAAAAACTGGAAGTGGCGCTGTGGCTCAAGTGGTAGAGCGCTAGCCTTAAGCTGAAGAGCTGA